TAATTTAAATCAAACCTTTTATTGTAGGTGCATTTTCATCCTTTTGTATAGAAGTCATCTAAAAATTTGAAGAAAGATTATTGCCAGCATCAAATAAATATAAAATAGGGAAAATAAAAGGAAAATGTTAACTTTTTTCTAACATCTTCCCATCCTTGCTTTTGAGGTGGTGGCTTGTGGAATGAGATGTGTAATGCCGTTGTCTGAGTACGCACGTTATACTAGAAGCACAATGAATGGTGGTAGTAAGAATTATTGGTGTCTTCTATGGTGGGGATGGGGTTACATGTATCGACAATGGTTGTCTTTGATTAAGCAACACTTAATGAATTTCTTTTTAATTTTTTCGAGCGGTATAATATCTAATTAAAATTCTGTTTTATTGACGGAGAACAATCAGGTTTGTAGTTTCGAGAAGACTTGGTCAAAGAAACAAATATGTTCTTAAAATTGAAGGGGATCATAAGAAGAGTGAAGACGATTTGGATAATTGGATTGAGAGGGAATATGAATTTAACCGAATATAGCAATTCAATAATTTATGTCGAATCCTATTCTCGATTAGGGTAATGCGTCTCTTGTTTTTGAATATGTTTTGTAATACTTAGAGATTTTCTTTGAATATGCTAGGAGGGTGAGTACTAATATTTTTCATTTAGTAGAAGGTATAATCGATGGTTCCCAAAAAAATGTTAAAAATGTCCGATTTTGATCTAGTTCAACTAGTTATGAGAAAAATTCTTCAACACCATCAGTTTGGTTCAATACTGTCTACTGATGCGATTCAAGGATTTGGAGACAAATGTTCACCCACACTCTTCTTCAAAATTTAAATGAATTTGAAAAATGATGAATACCTCAACAACACTCCCAACTATATACCTCCAGCTTAACGTTTTTATCGCTGTACTAGAAATCGCTTTTTTGAATACACGTTTTTATCCGTGTACGGGATATAGGAATTCACTCCCTATCCTCTTCAAGCCAAAAGAAAATGTTTCCGACCTCGGCTTCAGTCCCCCAATTCAAATCCCTATCCCTCACCACCCAATTCATCCATGGTTCGACCCCCTGCTCCCACCTCCTCAAATCCTCTGCCGTCACACCACCGCAGCAGCCGCCATTCCTCCCGGTGATCAAAGCGATGAGGACCCTTCAAGGCAAGGTAGTTTGCGCCACCAACGACAAGACCGTAGCCGTGGAGGTTGTGCGCCTTGCTCCACACCCAAAGTACAAGCGCCGGGTTAGAATCAAGAAGAAGTACCAAGTCCATGACCCACTGAACCAATTCCAAGTTGGGGATATTGTTCAGCTGGAAAAAAGCAAGCCCATTAGCAAGAACAAGAGTTTTTTGGCGATTCCAGTTCCCAGTCGAAACTCGCGGAAGGTGAAGGAGAATTCGCCGGAGCAGGAGCTTGGGCTTCCACTGGAATCTGAGCAGCCGGTGAGTTGATGAAAGAAAGAGAGACGATTGGATTCAATTGGAATTACTTCTGTGATGATTTTATTATGTTGCTGTATTTGAATAATTTAGAACATTTTCTGGTAAATTGAGTTGCATTTCAAGCAGGTGGTTCTGTGTAATAATCTTTTTATATATTTCGTTGATAGCTTGTTTGATAAGATAACTATGCACTCGAGTTCATTTGTTATGTAGTATTGGATAGACTCTCGTCACAATTGTGGACTTGCTTTCAAATAAAAACGAATTGTACACAAAATTTGCATATGCTAGTAACCAAATGTACGACTAAAAACATGTAATTTTACATCAAGTACAACAATCAAGATCATAGGATAGAAATTAAGACATCAATACCCCAAGTGGTGTTCCTGGTACAGATGATTTTTCCTCCTCCAATTCATTTCCTTCAGTACTAGTTTTTGCTACCTCATTAACACAAGATCCATAAACCCAGCTACAAACAAGAAAATAAATCAAATTAACGAAGGTCATAATTGCAAGAAGCCAATAGTAATACTCATAGTGACCCTTGTTGATGTTGCTAGAAACCCAACTCTCTTTCCCTTGTGATCTGGTAAGATTATCCACAGAGCTGAGTATAACAGTAGCAAGCAAGTTTGCTATCGCCATCCCGACCCCAAACAGCGACGATGCAATGCTCGACATGCTTTTCGGGAACTCGGAATAATAGAATTCCGTTTGGCCGATTGCGTTAAAAGCCTCTGCTAGTCCACTTAAGATATGTTGAGGTATAAGCCACATTGCAGACATGTTTACCACCGCATGGGGATTGTTCGATAATCCTTGCTCGATTGCCTTGCGCCTACGAACGTGCTCCACTGTGCCGGAAACTACCATAGCCATACACGAGAAGAAAATCCCAATTCCCATTCTTAACTTCACCCCAAGATGCACTTTCTTCCCTATAAGTTTCGATGCCAGTGGTATAATTACACGATCATATAGAACAACCCAAATCGATATAGTAATGATCGTAAACATCCCAAAGGAGCCAGCTGGAATTTCAAAGCTTGAAGTCATATGTCTATACATGGAGCTAGCTTGAAGCAAGGGAAATGAACTTTGGCTTATGTTTATTGATACCATTATCCCGGTAGACCATATAGGGATGACTTTTATAAGTGCTTTTAACTCCTCCACTTGTTCTATCGTGCATAAATTCCACCCGTTCGAAACTACTCCGGAAGAAGATATATCTTCAGGATTCTTGATAATACAAGCCTTGTTTAAGAACCTGGAATATAGAAACGAACAATGAGCGAATTAGAATGGATAACGTTCAATGCTAAATAATACTAATATTTTTGGAGTTCATCATAGTACCTTAGCTTGTCAGTTGGCATGGTAAGTTCAGAGCCTTTCTCATGATGATAAAGATTTGAGTTACAGGGAAGCGCTAGCTTTCTGTTTTTGTATGCGACTACAAGGACCTGCACAAAGCCAGTAAACAAGCTCTTGCTTGCTTTCTGTTTGACATACAATGATGATGCAAGGAAAAAGAGTAGAGTCGAGACAAACATGAGAAGTGCAGGAACTCCAAAACCTATTTTCCATCCCAAGTGATCTTGAATATAAACAATGCCGGTTAGAGCAATAAGAACTGAAACAGCTGCTGAAGCATAATACCAACTAAAGAAGCTTTCTAGCACCCTATCATTGTTGGGATTGTCTCTTTTGTCTAGCTGATTGGCTCCAAATGCTAAGGAGCATGGCCTAATGCCACCAGCACCAACGGATATAAGGCCAAATGAGGAAATCAGGAGAGCATATTGTGCCTGTGAGGGAAATTTACAGCTGTGGGCCAATTGATCACAAGGTGAAGGACTTGCTTTGGAAACCATAGCTGTTAGCCATAGAAGGATCATCCCCTGATAAATGAAATAGAACATTCAGACAAGTCTTTGTTTAGAGACACATTCAGGATCATGCATTTGTGGAAGTGCACACATAATTCACCTGGTTTGATGAATAGCTTATGCTGACCAGGCAAAAACCAAACGAGCCCACCAAATAATGGTTCTTCCCTAGATGGAGATATTGGGCTCGGGGCCCAATCTGAAGATCATGCCTCTAGGGACCCAGAATGACACAATATGGTAAAGTCGAGCTATCGACTATAACCTAGCGCTGAGTGGGAGGCAACCCACTGTATCCTTAAATTTATTTTATTGCATTGCATTAGTTTAGGAATTTGTTTAAGTTTAGTTTGTTTCTTAGGTCATCAATCATATTTTGCATGATAGCCTAGGCACTACACGTTTAATGTTGCATGAATGGGTGCTGAATGAAGTGTTTGGGTGTTCGAGTATGTGTCACGCATTTCTATGTGCGAAGATGTTCGTTTTGGTTAAATTTTCAGAATGCGGGACAGCAATTATGAAAACCGATTTTGGGCGAGTTTAAATTTTATAAAAATAAATAAATAAATAAATAAATATATAAATAAATAAAAATATATATAAATATATATATATATATATATATATATAAAATTAAAAAATTACATATAATTAAAAAAACCAATTTTATGTAAAAAAAAAAAAAATTGCTTATAAAATAAAAATACTACTAATAAGATAAAAAAAATTCACTTACATAAAAAGGTACATATAAGTAAAAAAATTCACTTAAAATATTTAGAAGAATAAAATAACTTATAATTATGATTATGAAATTTACTTACAAGTAAAAAATATATTAACTTAAAATTTTAAGTAGATACTTAATTTTATTCAATTTTTAAAGTTAAATGTTAACTTATATGTAAGAAAATTAATATAAGTAAAAAATTTCATATGAGAAATTATAAATCAAAAGTTTTTACTAAGAAACACATATGTAATTTTATTCTTTTAAAAAAATTTCAGAACCAGTGAGTAATAAACTTCCAAGAAAAGGTCGGACAATTTTAAAAATCGCTACTAAAACCACTCAAAATCGATCCATTTATAAACTTTCAAAATCAATACTTTGAAAATTGCAGATAACCGATATGCTGGAACTCCCAAGCCGCCATAAGGCTCTTAACCTGTATGAGTAGGGCCTCTCTCACCTCACAAAAGGTACGTGATCCTATCCAGTTTTACATATGTGATAATGCATTTCTCCACTTGCTAACTTGAGCATTGAAGGAGCATAGAAGAGATCCCTTGATGTCTTTGTTACGAATATTCACTTATTCAAGGTTTAACATCGACGGTGGCACCATCGCTCACCAGCAACAACTTTTGGTAGCATATTGTAAAATTGGCACCATACTTGGTGCTCAAATTGTAGTTTACATGAATAGAATAAATTTCATTCAATGCTCGACCCAAAGTAATCACGAAAAGTATTAATTTCATCAGCTCACGAGGACAAGTTACCCAGGCCAAGAACATAAAACAACATTTACTCAAAAGAGAAGAATCTATAGCAGCATTAATGTAATAACCTAAGTGCTCTCTCCATATAAAATTATTAAAAAAAATGAAAAACGTTGATGCAATAATGTTAGTTAATAGTACTAATCTCAAACCAGATTACTGCAAGAGCCATGATACTGTATTGAATGTTTGGCTGTGCTGAAGAACAAGTATTTACCAGTTTTCTTGTATTAATTTTCAAACTTATATTTATTGAACAAGGTTACCGGCTTAGTTCAGGTTGTGCTAAATGATATGTTGAATGTTATAACCGTAGTGGGATAAATAGCATTACTCATTACTGACAAAATTTACTTTTTTTAATGGTAAACCTCAACATAATTTCAAGAAATTAACTTTCCAGTACACCCGAAAACGGAAAACCCTGTATATCTCGGTAGTGGCTCGAATGAATCACTGTACTGTACAAATGAGAAACTTTCAAACTTTATGACACAAACTTCAATAAATAAAAATAATAATATACCATACCATACTAGTAGCAGAATTAAATAATAATTCGCAAACAGGGAAAAGAGTTTACCAAAAGACTGGCGATAGATCCAAAGCCAATGGTCAAGAACCGACCCAGAAATGAATCAGCAACAAATGCCCCAATTAGGGGCATGAAATTGGTAGCTGCAGACCAGAAGAAGATCATATTGGTAGCTCTTGTAACTCCCATATTGTATACTCTCGTCAGATAAAATATCATATTGGGTAACAACCCATAACTTGCCACCTTTTCAAATGCCTCATTTGCTGCCAAACCACAAAGACAAATCACAAGATTTTAGTAAATTTGGGCCTCGAGATTCAAGAAATGACACGTTCAGTTCAGTCGACCTTACCAATAATGAATGGCATGGTAATGAGCCCACCTTTGGGTTTCTTTGGAGGCAATTCTTGCTGGTTCATTTTGCTCTAAATCTGCAAATAGTGAAGTATTTTTCTCTTGCATTCCCTTCTTCTATCTACATCTACAAAACATGGATCATCAAGCAAAGCGAAGAAAACTGAAAAGGGCAGAAATGATGATGAGTTTATAAAGAAGAGAGTAATGATTCGAACAATGTGTGGGGACTGTGTGTGAAAGTGAAATGACAGGCCGCAAATGCATATTCAAACCAGGCTTTGCGTGTGTCCTCTGCACCGCAATTTCACTCAAATTGCTAATATTTCAGTACCAAAAGTCGGCACTCAACCACAGTCCAAACCACGTCAGACAGACTCTTCAGGGCAGAGGGGGTCCCAATAAATATTTTCAACTTTATTTTGTACAACGTACATCCCTTTTCGATTGGGTAATTGGCAAGCCCCGACCCTCTTTGAAAAACTTTATATACGACCTTTTCTTCGCCTTTCATTTTCTCATTAAATCGTGCAAAATGATGAATGTGTCCTACTTTTTAAATAAAAGAAAAAGAAAAAATAGGAAGGTATCCTCAATTGAGATTATTTTATTTTTTTGAAATTCCACCACATTTAATAAGAATTTGTGGAAATATATTCAAATTCATGAAATTCATTAGTAATATAATCTTTTAAAATTTATCAAAATCTTGGTTGAGAACACACCCCATAAAGAATTAATTGCAACTGTAATCCAATTTTTTTTTTTTAAATACAAATAAATCTCCAATAGATGATTAAAAAATTAAATTGATGTATAAATTTATTTTTATATTTTATTCAAAAATCAAATAAATAAAATTTTCACTTTATTTTCTTTTGTTTATATTATTATTGACGTACAAGTTAATTTTTAT